ACAAGAGTGTCCCACAAGAGTGTCCCACAAGAGTGTCCCACAAGAGTGTCCTATAAGAGTGTCCCACAAGAGTGTCCTACAAGAGTGTCCCACAAGAGTTTCCTACAAGAGTGGCCCACAAGAGTGCCCTACAAGAGTGTCCTACAGAGTGTCCTACAAGAGTGTCCTTTGGACATATTAGTTTTTCGATCGTGTTTGCATTCGGGTTCGTGGGTTCCATCTTGTTTTTTTGTCGGAAAGGGGCCTCATCAGACATCAGGCCGAAGGTGACACAGGCCTGGTCTTGAGATTTGGTGAAACAATGTCGTGAAACAGGGAGATGGCACAACTCTGCCAGGAAAGCTCTGTGGTAGCGCCTCTATCATCGTATTCTTCCGCCGAATGCTTTATTCAGCGAATTCAGAAGGAGGTGGGAAGAGACAGTTCCATTGCGTTTGAGAACTTTAATTAAGACATATTAAGACTTGAGATGATCGGAATGCTCTTCAGTTCTTGCTGGGAAATTTACCCACCAAGGCAGTAGATTTGGCGATCATGCAGATGGCACTGCACATGATCTTAGCCCATCCTACTGTACAGGACTTGTTCTTTGGAAATTCACCAGTTTTTCACTCCGCCGTTCAGGTACTGCTCTTCAAGGACTTCCAAAAGGGTCCCGCTTTTGGGTCCCAGAGCCCCCTCCACATTCGTCGGTTTGGTTTCGATGCCTCCTTTGAGTTCAGAGGGCCCGTGGGCAGCCGGCGGGAAGTCTGGCAGTCCATGCTTTAGCAGTCCATGTTTTAGCAGTGACTTTCCTGGGAGACTGGGAGACTCGGAAAAGAGTGCTCTCCAACTCGACTTCAAGCGGTGATGAATCTTCGGAGAAAGCTGCTGGTGGTTGTCTCTAGAACTGATGTAAAGCTGCTGGCGGTCGTGACCTTGGTCCTTCCCCAGGACTCGCGGTTGCTCCTTTGCGAAAGCGGCCTACGCGAGCTGGATAAGCATTCCCAGCGCGAGGCGGCGGGTGCTGGCGGGTTCAGCTGGCGAGTGGCGACTGGGGTTGGGGATAGCGAGACTTCAGCGAATTCTTTGATGGGATTATTGGAAGATACTGTATGTTTCCTCATTCTTTGGTTGAACAGATTTGCAGTTCCATGGCGTCGTTCATCAGGCGTGTGTTCTGAAAAGAATGAGCGGGCGAAGGGCCATGGGCGGTTCAGGCGAAGGGACTCATTCACGGGGCGGCGGTCCGGGTCGCCTGCTGGGTCCACGTCCGGTTCACTCAAAGTACAGGGTCCATGTCCAGGGTCGCTGCAGGTGGAACATATCAGAATCTTGAACAACAGAAGTGGAAGTGGAGGGATTTTGCCCTTCCACTCACATGATCAGACCATCACTCAAGGGCAACTATCAATGACCCTTAGGGTGGTCACACCCAAATCCTTACACCCTTGATATGCATGGAGCATTGGATGTGGGTCACCACTCCCCTTGAAGCATCTTGAAGCCATGGTAGGTTGACCTCGAACGATCTGCTTTCGTTTGGGGGGGGTCTCCAGGCCCTCAGGGTTAATCGCTTCTCAGCATCGCTGAGGCCCCGCCGAGTGCAAGCTTGCAACGCTCCCAAGTGCTAGAGGCCTGGAGCTAGTTAAGCCTATCCAATGGATCGGCAGCAGGTAACAGCTGGGTTTTCCAAGCACAGCACTCAATCCAAGTAAAAAAATACGTAAGACAGTGTGTATATATATATATATATCTGATATATCTTAAGTCATTCCAAGCATATACTGACTTATTAAAATCATTAGAGATGTAATAGAGATACTGTAGGTGGTACGGTAACTGGGATCTACTTTGTAGCCATAGTGGGATTGCGACTGACAAATAGTGTCACACTACGGCATGCGAGTTTGCGGGCAGGGAGGAACGACAAAGAGATGTTTCCCGCAGCCATCTATGCGAGATGCTTGACATGCTGTTTCTTTTTTTTCAGACCTGTCAACTGATTATGGAGGAAGGATGAGGAAGGTCTCACAGGGGAGTTTCATTTCCTCCAAGAGGTGGTATTCCTTCGAAAGAGTACACCGTCTTCAAGATAATTGGTTTCTGGTTGATGAGCTTTGCTGACCCAACATTCGACCTTACAAGAACCCTGTAAACCCCACCCAACTCACTCATCAAAAGGGGCTTCGCCCAAATAGTCTTCATTGAACTTCGCATTTTGTCCTCAGTCTTATAAACCATGCCCCGTGAGGCACTATATTCACTATAGCAAGAAGCTATTAGTAACAGGTGCATCGCTAGTAGTAACAAGTGCCT